GCGAGTACATGCGAGGTTGGCAGGTGCACGGGTGTACGCGGGTGCGCGGTAGAGGATCGAGACGCATGGGCGCTGGAGGCGACGCCTGAGGCACGGGACGACGGCACGAGCGGCACGGACATGAGGGGCGTGCGCGGCACTCGCACAGGTGGCAATGACGTGCGGGATGTGGGCAGCAGTGGCGATGGGCGCGCGACGGCGCGCGAGTGCGAGGCAAGCGCGAGCGACCCAATCCTAACAGGCGTAGGAGTGCTGGGCGCGGGTATGCACGCGCAAGCTCGACGCGGCAAGGGGGAAGCGCGCGCAACAGCGTGCGCGTATGAAGACCGCGCGCAAGACGCCGAGTCCGCCGAGGACTAGGACTCGCGAACGCGCGCGCATGCGAGGCGACCGAGAGTAATTGGGGCGACAACTTGGAAATTCTAGAATTGCTTGGTGTGCAAGCCAAGCATTAGTATTTTGGTAGTAGTATGATTTTATTGCTTTCTAGTATTAGGATTTCTATTATTGCAAGATTTAGGAGATCTATTTTATTTAGGCTTAGATTTATTTTATGCAACTATAAATACCCCATGTACTCTTCACAATTAAAAGAGTTGAATGTTGAGTCTTGAATTGGTGAGCCAATTGTGAGGGGGAACTGTTGTTCTTACGTGTGTTTAAACAAGGCCGTTAGTGCGTGTTTACATACAGTATCGGTGAGAAGGCCATTAGAGCGTCTTGAAGTCACGGTGTCTAGGAGAAGGCCGAAGTGCGTCTGTTAGATACACCTATCGTGGATAAACGAAGGCCCTAGTGCGCGTTTATTCACAACCCGAGTATAGATAAAAATACGATCCGTCATCATTGGTGCTTTCATTGAGAGGTGCTGATCGTATTTTTATCTATCTATCTTTTCTTTTTTTCGGTTTTGCCTTTTGCTGAGGGGAACGAATTTTGTTCTTTTTGGTTCGAAATTTTCGATTTTTCTATTCGAATTTTTTTCAATTTTTTTCGAAAGTCTTTAAAAAAAGTGTCATCTTTTTAGTCCTTTGTTTGATTTTTTGTTTCGGTTATTACCTTTTGTTGAGGGACCGAATTTTTCTTTGTTTTCTGAAATTTTTGGTTCGAATTATTTTCGAATTTAAAGAGTAAGAAAAAAAAA